AGCAGCTAATTGCCAAGGCTGCTCCACACTTGAGAGGGAGGAAGTTGGGATAGAAGTGTGAGGAAATACACCTGACGGAGTCTGAAAACATGCAGGCAGCCTACATCTGTTTTCCGTGTGAGTTCCCAGCATACTTCTGTGCCTCCTGGGACAAGATGCTGAAACACAGACACACTTACCAATTTATTATTTGTTATAATCAATGCTGTTGTTAGTATGGGAGGTACAATTTTTGTAAAGGAAGTTTTAAGCACAGAGATTCTACTGAAAACGTGTTCTATGCTGGTGGTAGGTAATAAGGGGTAGGTAATAAATGGAATTTGGGATTGTGTGATTTGATTTTTTTTTTTTTTTTTTTTTTTTTTTTNTTTTTGATTGTTTTCCTCCACCACAGCTTCTGAATAAATTTGGCCTTGATAAAATCTATGAAGGCCAAGTTGAAGTGACTGGTGATGAATACAACGTGGAAAGTGTGGACGGAAAGCCTGGCGCTTTCACGTGCTACCTGGATGCAGGGCTTGCCAGAACTACTACTGGAAACAAAGTCTTTGGTGCTCTGAAAGGTGCGGTGGATGGTGGTCTATCCATCCCTCATAGGTAACTCGGACTTTTTTTTAATCTCTTTCAGAATTACCTCAAACTTTTCCTTATGTGATAGTCTATTTACATTGTTATTTTACTTCAATGTTGTTTTGTTACAGATGTGGAAGTGATTATATAGCCTATGTTTTGTTTATCCCCTCCATCCAAACAGGCACAGTTCTGAGTGCTGTCAGAAACCTTGGGCTGTCAGGAGATGCTGTTCAACTTCTAGAAATTGAACAAAACAGCCACCTTGTTGCTTCTACTAAAACTGTCCAGTGACTGAATACATTTAAACAAAGAACTGTTAATGTTTATTTTGAATCTTTAGAAAAGCATATGTGTGTATGCATATATATATATTTTAATTTCACCTTGAAAACTGTACTTATCAGATGCAAAGCAACCATTGGCGTTTCCCACAGTTAGAATTGTTTGTATTAAGTCTGAGTAGTCAACACCTGCACTTGAAATGTCCATGTGGAAGTTCTGACAGTTCCTGTCATGGGTTATGAACGACTAAGTCGAGATTTCTGGCGGCATTATCTAACACTGATATTATGGTTAGCTACTTCTTTTTGGTAGCTATCGTAGGAAAAGTATGGATTTTTGTAGCTTTCTACCCTGACCCATGTAATCCTGTGCTTTCTTGACTCACTGTCTGCTCCTGGCTTGGCTGCTGCGTGATGATACCCCAGTGACTGAGCATTCTGTAGTTGGTCCTCAGTCTGTACATGATGTACTGCATTGTTTCAAGACGGGACTGATAGCAGCTGAGATGAGCTGAAAACCTCCATTTCTCTATTTCCTTATTCTTTCAGTTTTATTTAGCATATTTATTTTGGTCCAATCTGTTGGCTCTCTGTGGGAGAATAGGATGCATCTGTCACGTCTGTTGATTAGACAAGCTGGTTTCTGACCTGCAGCGTTAGACGACGTGTCTCACTCTGTAACTGCTGTTTCACAGTACCAAGCGTTTCCCTGGTTATGACTCTGAAAGCAAAGAATTCAATGCAGAGGTTCACCGCAAGCATATCATGGGCCAAAATGTTGCAGATTATATGCGTTACCTGATGGAGGAGGATGAAGAGGCTTACAAAAAACAGTTCTCCCTGTACATAAAGAACAATGTAACGCCTGATGGGGTAAGACTTGCCTGGCTGGCTCTCTTGCTTGTGCATTGGTAGAGACGCTAATAACCGTCTTGCTTAGGAACTTCTCTGCTAATGCAAAATCGTAATGCAATTCAAGCTGTATGCCTCCATGAAAAGAAAATATGCTTCGCATTTATACAAGTTCTGTGGCATAGCACAGGGCTCTCAAAAATGAGTTTTTTTTCCTATTTTGAAGCCTAACATTTTTCCTACAAATCTGAGCTTACAGAATAGCGCCCTAAGGCAGGCCTTGTACCTTTTTTGCTCATATGGAAACCAGCTCAAAAAGATTCTGTGCTTGCTGTCCCTTCATTCCTAATCCTGTACAACAGCCCGTTGATTCCTCTGCTCTGGTGGCTTTAACTGAGGATGTGTTCAGCACTCAACTGGCTTTATGGGTCGTGGACCCTATAGGTAGCTGTAAGTATCAGGTGAATAGAAAAAATCCCAAGATGGCTCCTCTGCAGAAGCAGTTTTCTCAGGTCACTACATGCTGTGGAGTGCTGTGTGCAGTTTTTGAATGATTTGCATAGAATACTCTCTAAAGGACATGTAATACAGCCAACTTTCCCATTTCTCAGGGTAAAAGGAAACTCCTTTTAAATATTTTTATCTTGTCTATAACACTCCTGCATGATTTCCTGCATTAGCAGTCCTGAAGCTTGGAACGAGCATTCTTCTTATGTCTCTTTTTAGGCTATGGAGAACTAACTTATTTCCTGATCCCTTTATGGACTTTCCTTTTTAAAAAAAGAAAAACTTAGATACTAATTATTTGTAATTTCCTTATTATTAAAAAGAATTAATTGTAAATGCTACTTTCATGTCTCTTACTAAACAAACAATACTTACCATTTGTACTGCACTTAAGTTTATCTAGGTATTTTGTCAATGGCAAGAAACTTGCTGCAGAGTCTGGAGTAGCTGGGCTGGAGTGGTCTTGAGTACGTAGAAGCAAATCTTCTTTAAGCCAGAGTTGCCTCTGGGGCAGACTGGGATTCTCTGCTAGGTTCTGCCGTTGGTCTTTGTAACTGGAGAGACCACTTCCATTTTCCTACTGGAAGTGTTAAAATAATAGTTCCTAAGCAATGTGACCTGCTGCCCATGTTTTGTATGTGCTAGTAATATAGGAGCTCTTAAAAGAACACTAGAGCGTAGGCTCCTCTGCTGTGTTTCTGTTGTTGCCACATGACTGCAGAAAAGGCAGAGATTGTCCTGATTCTTGCAAGGCTCCTTGAAGCTGCAGCTGTTTTCAGAATTTCTTCTGCTCTCCCCCTTTTAGTAAGGAGCTTTGTCATGTGCACTAGTAGGGCCTGTTACGTAGGAGGATTGTGTATCTACAGACAGGATGTATGAAGTGACTTTGCTTCAATGCGAGTGGGATTGACTCTTCAGAGATGAACTATATAACAAAGGAAATATTAAGTATTTTATTCTAAGCAGAAGTAGAATAACTTTCTTGCTGCCTTTACATTTAAGTGCAGGAAAACTAGGCCATTGAAAACAGTCTTCAGAAGAAACATTTCAACTGCAAGATGGAATTGATAAAGGCATCTAGTTTCTTGCTACACTCCTACAACTAGAGGGCTATGAGAACTTAGCTGGTTTTTGTTTTAGATGGAAGAAATGTATAAAAAGGCCCATGCTGCTATCCGGGACAATCCAGTCCATGAAAAGAAACCCAAGAGAGAAGTCAAGAAAAAGAGGTAAAATTTTCTCTTTAAGATAAGCAGGACTTCTCTTTTGAAGAAATCTTGAATGCCGTGTGAATGATTTAACTTACCTACATGTGTATTTCAGGTTAAGATATAAACATTTTGATAATGGTCAGTTAACTTCTGTAGTGAGAATGTAAAATCTAAGAGCCTTTATCTTGAAAACAAAAGGAAAAAATAAGCATGTCAGTGAATAACTAATGTTATTTGAAGGATGTATTTTCAGATCTTACTATTTTCAGGGGAAAAGTGCCTTTTCAGGAGAGGCAGAGTGACTGTCAGTACTAAACTAGTTTTTCAGGGGCTGGGGAAAGCAAGGACGTAGCAAGATCTTACACTATGAGATTTGCTATGTTGTCAGTCTGTACTCTGCTTAGTGTAGAGTTTACCTCTTGAGGAGTTAAACTTCAGCAGACCAAATATCCCTTACTGTGACACAGCTACTACCTTAAATCAAGTATGGTGTAGAAAGTAGCAGTGTGTTAAGATAATATTCTCAATCACAGTTCTGGTCTAGTGGTTTTTTTGCAACTTTTGTGCTTATTTCTACTTTACCGATCTTCCACCGTACGTGCCTTGCAGATGGAACTGTTCCAAGATGTCCCTTGCTCAGAAGAAAGATCGTGTTGCTCAGAAGAAGGCCAGCTTCCTCCGAGCCCAGGAGCACGCAGCTGACAGTTAAGAAGACTTCGGCAATTTTCTATCAAGCTTTGGAAAAAGTAACAATAAATTTATTGAATAAGCAACTGTGTAAGACTGGCTTATTAATATCTCAGTGTTTTTGTGTGTTTACAAGACTGCAAAAAGCCCCACAAACAGCAAGAGAATAACCAAGTTCTCTGTGGACTCTGCTGCTGCTGCACAAAGAGAGGCAAAGACTCTAAACTGAAGATGGTCACATTAGGGAATAAGATCCTAACAAGGGGAAATCAGTTTGGTTAATTTTGTGTGACCAAAACATCTATATGCAAGAACTTGCTCTTTCCAGTTACAAAATAGACTTCTGATTTCAAATCTGACTTCCTTAGCCCTTGTTTCTGCCCTACTTCCTTTTCATGGATGCATGACCTTTAAGGAGAAACAGAGGTCTGTGCACACTTAAAGCAGGCATCAGGGAGGGAGAGGTTTTACAATACTGAGCACTGGGGTAAGTACTGCTATTGAAAGAGAAAGGATGCCTTTGATTTATTGTAAACACATTTTCCAATGAAAGTCTTGATTCAACAGCAATAAAAACAGGTTCTATACAAACTGCATTATTAAACATGTTTTCCAGTTTTTCCAAGAAGCCATTTAAAATACCCATCAGTCTTTTTTCTGTCCCATAGAGTAAGAATTACATTCATATTTTTCACCAAGAAAATTAACGCTTAAGGTCTTTGCTGGTTACAAATGACAAATGATTGTTATTTCCTAGGTGGAGAACATTTTAAAGGTAGAGCCAATAGTTAACAGCATTTAAGAATTATTAAAAAGTTCATGTTTACAAAACAGCACACTTAACCCAAGCTGCTTCTGAGTACCTCTGATACGGCAAATGATATTTACTGATGTTGATTTTTTCCCCCCACTTAATTAAGGAATGCATTTAATACAGAACAGCCAAAGTAAAAAGGGAAACCTTTTCATATATGTAAAGCTTGTTCTTCTTACCTATGTTAAAAATGAGTTAAGGGGGTCAGATGTCTAGAGGAATATGGATGACTGACTCATAAAAAATCACCAAGGATTTAAGTACTTCATACCTAAAGCATTTATAAACTAAACATTAACAGATAACTGAGCATAGTACAGTACTTTATGCACATCCAGTTCTACACCACTGTGAGACAGACGTAAATCTGCAGATTTACAAGTTATACAGTGATCATGCCCTGTGGAATGCCAGGTAGGAAGTGCTTATTTACTCATGACTTGAAACTTAGTGACTCCTTCCCTCCTAGGAAAGAGCAGTAACAGGCTGCAGGAAGTTCTCTAGCATTACAGTCTACCTAGTTCCTAGCTGTTGTTATCACCATTGGGTCACCATTTAGTTTTAAACAATAGGATCTTGAACAATTCAACCTCTGTCCTACAATTCCGCTCAAGCTCTGGCTTAGATAGTTGCTGCAATTGATGAAGACTTAAATACAAGACTGTAGCTCAATTTACATTGATACTAAAGAATCGATCTCCAGAGCTGTAGTTTGTTATACAGTGGATTCCTCATATGGAAGTTTCTTAACATTCCACTATCAGTATTAAAAAGTTAATAATCTTCCATTTTCATTATGAAATAGGTTATCCACAAACCCAAATTTGCAAGATCTTCTGCAGCTTGTCCTGGGTTCAAAGTGTTGATTGAAGCACAACTGTCTGCTTTTGAAACATACCTGTATTGCTGCTAGAGTATCTACATCCTTTTAAGAACTAGTATTTTAAAAATTTTGGCTCCCAACATGGTGCACGATACCAGGACTTTTTAATTAAAAGTTTTAAACTATTTAAACATTCAAGATGTAAGCATGAGGTAACAAGGTGTAAACAGAATCTAACCACAAGTCTCATTAAAACCTGGAGGTTCTGGAATAAAACTTTTAATTTTCCAGACATTTAAAAAAAATATCTACTAATGTGCAAATTCTGCCATGCCAAGGTATTAGTAAACCTCAACCTCAGTTCAGTTCATCCACAATAGCAGCTTAGATGCAGCCACATCATTTGCAGTAGTAATGGGTCTTAATAAAATTACTTGTGATAGTTTTAGTATGTCCCAAGTTAGTGATGATTTTCACAGAACTGTAAGATGTTATGTTAGTCAATGTGGTGGCACAGTGAATACTTTGATCCTGTTCAAGATCTGACCAAGTGCACAGAACAGTCAAGCATGCAGAGTTCTTTCTATGTCCATAACACAGCACTGGAGAACCGGAAGGTGCTCTTGGCCTCTACCAGATCAGTAGGATGGTCCTGTGAACAAGAAGCCCTGTGACAGGGCACTGACTGAAGACAGGAGTTAGAGGCATTAGTGAAATCCAAAGAAAAGTGTCTTTAAAAAAATGCTGCAGACATTTGTTAGCAAATGTGGCAGGCCACCTCTAGCAGCATCAATATTACCTCTTGTGGGCAGGAAAACTAAGAGTCATTTGTATGGGAAATTTTTTTCCACAGTAAAGTTTTTAAATTATTGAGTAGTAAAGAATGCTCCATTTCCATCTGGCTTGCTGTGACCTTAAGGGCAATGCACAGGTACAGTTGTTTTTCTAGTTCCTCCTGGATATCCGAAGGAGCACCTCGCAGCAGATAGTCTTTCAGCAACTGACAGACTTTGGCCAGGTTTGGCTGAATGACTTCTGTGGTACACCTCATTTTACTTTGGTCACACAGAGTTCTACAGTCTGTACCATAAACACAGTCCAAGTCTGAGTTACACTGACGATCTTTAATTATTTCTTTGAGATTCATTTCTGGCACAATTTTTCTCATGTCCATCATTTTCAAATCATATTTGTCATTATATCCCAAATTTTTGGCACTTGTATCACACATAAGAAAATTCCCATAAGGTCCATGGAAAATATCTTCCACAAATTCTAAAAGCCCTATAGCTATCTTTGCCTTTCTTGGCCATGATGGAGTAAACCACTGGTCCATGCTTCTTCTGAAGCCAGAGGGAATGAAAAGTTCTACGATCCATGGAAGGGTAATTCCATAGAGGGAGGTATATTCAACTCTTTCCATCACGTAGAGATCCCCACAGAAACCCATCAGTTTGGGAGTGTGTTCTTTATCCTGCAGGATGACCATTAATAGAAACTCCTCTAGCTGCAGAAGTGCCCAGGCAGATTTTGCCTCGGGCAGAGAAACTCTGCCATCCTTGTTTCCATCAGCAAAAGACAGGATGAGATTAACCAGGTCTGAAAGGTTTCCTTGTTCACCCAATTTTGCCTAAAAACAAAGAAAAAAAAAGTATAATTTCATTACCTGCTACTCATCCAACTGTAGTTCTCCTTCCCACCATTCTCTTTCCATGGCTAATACCGTAGGCTCTGCCATCCTCTGATTTCAATGATTATAGCTGTTACAGAACTTGCTACCAAACCCTTGGAGCACTTCCCTTTTTGCATTGTTTGCTTTCAAAAGCATCAAACATTCCATAAGTACTAGTATTTCTAACTATTCCCCCTAGCTCAGTTACCATAATAACTCTTTCTGAACAAAAATAGATTAGTTAAGAAATTGTTTAAATTTTGCTTTGAACAAAGTCCTGAAATCTGGTTAAGAGCAAATACTTTTCTAAGCTATATTTTATGAACAAATTAAGGTTTTAGACTTGTAGGATGCATGCTAGCTTCCATTGATAAAAGAAACACATTACTCACGACTACTTCACACTTCAAAGCATCTCTAGGACAAACTATTTTTGCGCTCCTCTTTCTAACTTCACTCAAAGAATCAAGTTTACCTAACAGAGCTTTATCTCCAACTATGGAGAAATAAGCCCTTGCCAAAACAGAATAAATTGGCATATACTCACTTTAAAAAGACCGTATACCATTTCTTTGAATTTCTGAACAGTGGTTCCTCTGGTTGGTTTATCAAATAGGACTATTTCCTTTCTTGGTTCTGGATCAGTACCAAAATCAAGCTGAGTAGCTTCTTCCATCTGGCATTTTATAACACCTTGCAGATTTCCCCAGATTCCTAAATACATCTATGTAGCAAAAGTGGGGAGAAAAAAAATAAATATAAATAATTACAGAAGTCCTTCATGTAAAGATCAGCTGTGCTCTAAACTCTGCTTTGGAAGTCAAGCAGCAACACAAAGCAGAAAGCCAAGTGCTTACGGACAGTGCACAAGGCCAGCATTCAAACAGTGGCAAATTCAGATGCACACGCACAGCCAGCACTTAGGAGAGACGGGGCAGTTCAGGTATAAAGACAGGGAGATAAACAATATGTTGGGATTAGTACCATCTTCACAAAACTGTTAAGCGGCTTCTGTTTGGCAAGCATGGCAGCATAGGTATTACACAGTATTAAAGGATTCTTTAATGCGAATATGAAATGCAAAAGGATCTGGTCATCTCCTTGGAAACTGAATTCTATGACTGAATATTAAGAGTTCACAGCAATTGCAGGTTTCCTGTACTTTTAAATCCAGAAGGGTTCCATCAGAGGCATACTCCTTCACTTAATCTTCAGCTAATAAACCATATCACATGGTCCTCAAATGCTGATCTTTCTGCACATATTCATGAAGACAGAGAAACAGAGTGACTGAATTGCATAAGCCTTGGCTTGAAATTGTAAAGTGTCAGGCAGCTGCAGCAGCTTGCTAGAGGCCACTGTGAGTGGCAGGAACTACATGAACCACTGTCACCACCCAAGCGCTTCATAGGACCCCAGCCCAGCAGCCCCCAGTCAACAAACAAAGCCTGATAACGCTGAAGACCCAAGTGTGTAACAGGGGCAGGTCAGCATTGCTCCTCGCAACATCTTGACATGATTCTTGCCTAGCTGAGCTGAAGGAGAGAGGGAAATAAAGAAATAAAAGAAAAAAGAGAAAGAAAGAAAAAGAAAAAAAAAAAGGAAAAGGAGGCAGGCTCTGGCCTTTCAGCCTCTCTCGCAGGCACCGCGCTTCCAGTTAAAGCCAAGAGATGCCAGGACCCATCAGACAGCTGCTGTCAGATGAATTCTGCTCCAGGGTTTTCTCAAGGCTACAGGTCGTGAAGGAGGGAAGATGCCCTGCAGTGGGGATGACTAGAATGGGAACATTAAAGAGTTTTACATGGTTAAATGGATACAAGAAGGTACAAAGCCTGCTCGATACTCTAGAAAACAGTATTTCACTGAGCAAGAGTAGAGCTAGGTTAGATGTGTAAAGTCTCACCTGGTTATTAGGCTTTGTTGACAAACACTTTCCAAAATACAATGATTCTTTTGCACACAGACTGCTACATGCTGACCCATCAATAACTCCAGTCTTGTATTTATCACACTGAAACAAACAAGAATAAAAATATTTAATGAAATTGCTGAAGAACCAAAGGGCAACAACCACATCCAAAACCTGATAAGAAAGAGAGAGAGAGAAAGAGAGAGAGGCAGAGAGAGAGAGAGAGACAGAGAGAGAGAGAGAGACAAAGAGAGAGAGAGAGAGACAAAGAGAGAGAGAGACAGAGAGACAGAGAGAGAGACAGAGAGACAGAGAGACAGAGAGACAGAAGAAATGGTTTGAAAAACCCTATCCCCAATTATTTTAAAATGACAGAATGGTATCATTTTATTAATTCCACAGTCAGTTCAGTCACTGCCACATGTAAATTAACTGGGATAAATACTTCAGAAGCAAACCATGCTAAACATACTTACTATTATTTTCCTACAGTCATGTCCTCTGCATAGCTCCGTGTAGGTGGAATACTGAACATACATAATCCAGCTGCCAATAAAAACTACTAACCAGGAGATAAAGAGATACTTCATCCGCATGTATGAAAAACGTGCCTAGAGGACATAAAAAAAATATTTTCCATTATCCATTCAGCAGTAGTCATAATTATAGAAAAGTAACATGTTTGCTATTCCATTTTTAAGAACTTCCATACTGATGCAATAAACAGACTGCAATACATGCAGCATTTGCCTCCATCGGCAAGCAGAACTGACAGGGTGGGCAAGTTTGATTTATTTGAGTGGAAGGAAAGTAAAGGTATGAATAGAAGAAGATGACAGGCCCTCCTAGGACAAGCCAGGTTTCGGTAAGAAAAAGAAAAGGGCAGATCTACTATTTGCATTGTCCCCTTGCTAAGAGCAGTTACTGCTGTGCCGCTCCTGGCAAACCAAACCCAGCAGAACGAGATTCTGGTCAAACAATAACCTGTGTTCAAGTGCAAATATGCAGTTTTTATACGCAGTGTGCAGGGTGAGTATCAAGGAAAGGTTCCGTATGCTGCTACCTCCCTCCTTCCCTGAAACACCGTCACTTCGTTGTCGGAAATTGCTCTGTACTAACCACGTCCAGTCTTGTCTGTAACTGTATGAGACTTGCATGCTGTTTCAGGGACCTCTCTTTTACCTTCCTTCCCCGCCTGCTCCAGCCCCAACTAAAAAGATTTTTTTTAAAAAAAAAAGGTATTTATAAATTAAGCATTGATGAAGGAAGGGTAAATAACACCAAGTGCCTGGAAAGCAAGGGAGCAGATAGTGATCCATTTTTAACTCTCACAGGTCCAGTGTGCTAACAATTTGATTTTCATACTGCCATCAGGATTAGAAGATAATTAAGAAATCTGGATCAACTTTAGCTAAAGAAGCATAAAGGAGGTGAATGATAGCAGCTGTATACGGTTAAATGCAAGATCTATTTCCACCAGCGTCCTGATCTCCAACAGTGGCTGGAGGTAGATGCCTAGGGAAGAGGGAGAAGATACCACATTTCAGATGTTCTCACATTTTCCTTTTGGGGGACTTCGTAAGACAGATGTGATTTTTTATACTTAGTAAGCTCTATCCGTTTTGTCTTCCATGGTTTTATCCAGATTCCCATAGAATTCATATAACTTTTTAGCATTCACAACACCTCGTTGAATTAATTCCACAGGTCTACAGTCAGCTACACTGGGAATAGGTGGATAGTCTAACCCAGTTCCTAGCTTTATTTTATGCCCCTTAGGTCACATACTGCAAGATAGTTATCAGTCCCCAGCAGTATCTGCCATGGCTTTGTTGCCCTCTGTTACGCGCCCCTTTGTCAGGCCGGGCTTCTTCCAAACTGAGAAGCTCTTCCCTGCTGTTCCTCGGTGGGCAGCCCGTGGCTTGGGACAAGGCTGGGAAAGGCAGCGAGGAGAAAGAGCTTTCGCTGTCCTGTCCCGTAGGTACCTGCGGATCCGACCTCTGCCGCTGGTAAGACCTTACAAACCTTACACGTTTGTAGGAAAACATGATATTCCTGAGGACGCTTCTTTGCCACAGATCTAGGGGACGCTCGTTTCCGAGCAGCAGACACAGAGCTCTGGGTCCCACGCGCGCCCACACGCGGTTTAGGCGGGAGCCGGGCCCGGGCGCTGCCGCCCCGACCCGGCCTAGCGCAGAGCGCGGAGGCGCCGCGGGTGCCCGCGCCCACGGACAGCTCCCCTGCCCTCGGGCACATCCTCGGGGCACGATCCCGCACCTGGAGCTTTACGATGGCCGCTGCCCCCCCAGCACGCAGAGCTGTAGCTGTTTGGGTGGAAACATCCAGAACCATCCGGGCAGAGCGCACAGGAACTTCGCTGGGGCAGACACCGTGGGCAGAAACTCGGCGCTGTTATACTCTGAAATATTCTGCCTTTGAAAAGCAGAACTGAAACAGGATAATGCTGCTAAGGCTGCATTACTATCATGCAAGTTTTCAGCACCTTTCAAATTGTTTGGCCCCGGTTCTTTACAACTCTATAGCGAAGCCTGTTGTCATCTCAACAGGGTGAAGCTCTGCGCTATACAACAGGTCTGAAATTCTGCCTCAGTCTAATTATTCTGCTTTGGAGCAAGGTCCTGGTAAGGACCAGGCAACGTCACATGCCTTCTCTTAAAAGAAATGTTACTCTTTATACTGCAACAAAGAGTAAGATTTGCCAGAAATGACCATGGTCTGAGGCACATTCCACAGTTCCATTCTCAACACCATGCAGAAAATGAGCCACAAAACAGATTCCAATAGTGCCAGGTTTGGGGTATGTTCAGCATCAGAATTTATTGGCCACCGAATAACATTTCTTGGGGGGGTTGCTGCCTAGCAGGATCCCAAGTCTGGGCCACTTCCCCACCACACACCCTCAGTTTCAAAGCAAGTTGAGAACCTGTTTTGCTATCCATTCCTGTTCAAGAGGAATATTTTGGATATCAACCCTAGTAGTCAGCAGCTTTCAGTAATTCAAGCAACATCTGCAACACAGAACCTCATAAAGCCTTAGAAAAATACATTTACAGGTATTAAATGAAATTACATGAAGGACTATTTTGCAGTCTGATTACAGCTACAGAGAGCAGGATGTTTGGGGCAGAGTTTGAACAGGCTAAAGTTCTTTTCCCAATTTGATATTTTAGTTGTTAGAAGTGATTCTTTCATAACTATCTAATTACCCAGTCTTCATTAGAATATTGCAGAACACCTACAGGGAGAACTAAAAAGGATGTTATCTATCCTCATAATAGCAGACAATTCTGAAAATTGCCTTAGTAAAACCTGTCACAAGTCTCTTCTCTTTAGAATTTGTCTATTAATAGAATTACTAAAAATCCCAGTAAATTCACTTTCTTAACTGCTTTTGTGTGTATGGAAAAACATTTATTACAGATCAGCAGCCATAGCAAGTAAATGCTAATGTTTATCTTTCCTCCATTTGATAAGGTATACTATTTAAAGACAGCACTAATTTCTGTTAGCCATTTTAAATAACCTCAATATCGCATGAAGGATATAGCACTAGTAGAGCACTCAAAACTACTAGTAAAGGCTGAGAAAAATCTGAAATAAATTTACTAAGTTTACACAAAGGTGATTTTACTTGGGAAAAAAAAAAGAAAAACCTTATTTGTGATGACAAAACCCTCAGAGTTTCTTGTTAATTTGCTCCACATACCTTTACAACACCAGTCTTGAAGCCAAAGTGCTATTTCACAGAAATACCCCAATTACTACAACTTCACAGGGACTTCTAATGGTCTGCAAACCTCCAAACTACTGCTGAAGGCTGCCCCTATCCCTAACATAGGAAGTACACTGTATCTCTGCTTTCATCCAAATTTGTCCTCCTTCTCAGACAGGAGGAGAATGTGTTTAGGACAGAAAATCCTGCCCAAATGGCATTCAAGTGCATCATACAGTTGGCAGGAAGTTCTGCAGGAGCTGGGTTTATTTTGGGCTCAGTGCTGTGCCAAGGCAGTCACACAGCTTTTCACTCAAGCTACTTAGGTCCTGCTGCTTCAGAACATGGACAAGAACACACGTCTGCTCACAGAAGACCACAGGTTTCCACTTGCTTTCAATTAAAGTGGAGTTTATTAAATAAGGTCTTATCACATGCAGCAAGAGACGTGATCATTTGTTTTCTTCGCATACATTTTCTCTCCCCAATTCCAGCTTCCTCCCCAAAAATCAGCCTGCAAACAGAGACACATTTAGTCCACCTCATTTAAGAAGTGTCAAACAGCTGTGCATGTGCTGTACCCAGGCAGATCTACTGAGTCTGGTTTGGCCACTTGTGGTAAGTAATACAACTTGAAAACTCTGGACTTACTGCACATGTGTTATAGAGATCATCCAAACATGTGAGAAAGAAGGCACAGACACCGGCTAGGGAACAATACTAACCAAACTTCACCTGGAATCATGGCAAACTTCCAGGAAGTTTGGAATAACACTTAGAGCTACAGAAGGACCAGGAGCTCTGGGGCCATCAAAGCAGGAAGTGCTCGAAGCAGGAAACACAGCAGCTCTCCTCTGCTCCACGCTTCCATCAGGACCCCCGAATATAAGCCAGGGAAAACAAGGATGAAGGAAAGCACTTGTGATGCTTTACAGGATATTACAGACTCAGCACCTCCCATCACATATATTTTACTGTCATGTGCATTTAATAATAATTAAACATTTATCCCTTGGAACAGAACTGGAAAACCACTGCTAGCAAAATTCAAGCCTGGATACACTCCAAAGAATGTGGGGAGTAGCAGATCAAAATGCAGCATAGCTGCGTGCCAGCTTTCTGATGAGTGTGCTTTTTATTTTAAATCTTTTTATGGTTAAAGAGTATGAAAGTGTTTCTTTGTTTAACACTACATTTTAATTCTACAAACTATTCCACATAACCATATTCCCTTAATCCGTCTCAAATCTGTGAGCTGCTCACTGTTTTACATACTAGCAATTGCAAAGCACAGACAGACAAAGTTTCTAGACTGATCATGTTAGAAATCCTGTTCTCTTTCAGGTTGATTTATAGATCACTTCAAGATGACTAGTGTGAATTCTGGGCATATTAACTGATACTGCCTTCCATGTCACATCCTAGACACATTTGTATTTTTAGAGCACACAGCACACACTTAAAGATTATGCTGTTACATCCTGAATTGTTCCTACCCCAACCAATCAGACTTAGGGAACACAGACTGAGATCTCTCTCGAAATAAAATAGGATAATGCTAGAGATAGAAACCAGGATGTTTCCCCTTAAGAAGATAAAACAAAAGAATAGAGGATTAAAAGCTTATAGCAAAGAGCTTATATAGTGTATTTCCATTATCTGAGGCTTTGCAGCTTGTTTGTCCTTAGCCTTTCAAAGATGGTGTCTCACAAGTTGCTGAAGTGCAAGGGACTTGCCCAAAGAGCCTGAACTTGGCTGAAGTTCTCCAGCGGACAGAGCTGCCAGGCACAGGGAGAGCAGAGGCCTGGGATCACGCAGGGCATCATCTTTCCCACCCTGCACGAGCCTGCTGGCTCGTCCCCAGCCTCCCAGCACAATCACCAGCTAGAGCCAGC